CGCTGTGAGTCCCCAGTCATCCCACCCTATGGCAGGAGCAGCCTGAGAGCTCTTAGAACAAAGACTAAAGAACCACATTTCTTTAAAGAACTGACGATGAATGGAAATCCATTCACCAACCCAGAAACCCAGAGCCCAGGACCCCATCCCCTCTTCTGTCCGGCAATTACAAAACAGTGCCACTTCCCTCTCATTTCCAATAATTAACCACATCAGAGAAGAAAGTGATCCGGAAAATACTGGCATCCAGTATAAGTCATGCTCGACTCAAAAGTAATCAACAAGAAGTATGACTTACCTCAAATGTGACTTAAAACTCACCTTGCATTTGTAGAGAACATCTTGATGTCGAAGTGACCGCAGCTCTGGTGTGAAACTGACTGACAAATGAAGCTCTGGACTCTTTAGGGGTTGGGGGACCTGCTGGTTCTTTGCTGTAGCTTCTTCTGAAGTCCTGACTTTCTGCCTGGTCCTCTCCACAGAGCTCAATTGAAATTGGAAAAAAAAAAAGAAGACAAACATCTAGTCAAATATTTACTAGCAAAATGAAAGCGACAGTCCTCTTTCTTCCTTGTCTCAGGACACTGGCAGCTGTTCCTCCTGTCCTCTCGTTCTCATGCTGCAGAAGCAGGAACTTCTCTCCAGTCTCCCCTGGACCCAAGCTCTCCCCTTGACTTCCTGCTCGGAACCTTGGCCCTCAGGGATGTCAGAGCTCTGCCCAGCAGCTGAGGCCCCTTCCACTAGACTCTGCCTCTAGGCTGTAAATCTTTGTGGAAGTAGACTGCCCCATTTTTCTCTCGTGGAGTAGCTGATGGGTCCAAACCACCAATCTTTTGGTTAACAGACGTGAGTTTTAATAACTGAGCCACCAGAGCTGCTTCTGTATTTACTTAGGGTCTAGTTAGGTGACAAGCGACATTTAATACAGGAATTGTTAACTAGATAACATGTGACTCGCAACTGCAGGGAGCAGCTACCACCGTTAGGGCTCGGGGAACAAAGGGCAACGGGAAAAGCAGGTAGAAGGGCGTGGAAAGGCAGGCTTCTTCTGCAACCAGTGCTGCTTGGCTCCGAACTCAGAGACAGCATTGTGAGGTTGGATCATTTTGCTTTGGGAAGACTGGATGCCTGTGTCCTGTCAGCACTGTGGGAGGCCAGAGTGTCCTCTGTGCCCCCCACCACTGCTCTCTGTCAGATCTCCCAGCCTGCCCTGCACCAATGCAGTCAGCAGAGGTATAAGGAGGTGAATCTGCACACAGACTTCTGAGGCTCCCTCTCTGTGCTCTGGACCTCTGCACCACAATCCCAGCTGCCCTAGCCCTCAGCCTGATCTCTGCTCCACTTGGGCTCTACTCTTCTTCTGGGCAGCCTGGAAAAGTGTCCTGGGAATAGCTGGGGTGGGTGGGGCTCTCATGGAAGAGTTCAAATCTCTGTGCTGGATCCACACTCAGTGCTCGCAAACTGTTTTCTTCATTTTGTCCAGGTTCATAACTATCTAATGGACATCAGGCAGGAGCTTGATTCAAGCATGGCATGTTCAGTTGCATCCAATACATTGAAAGTTAGACAAGAAATAAGAATGACAGAAGAATCTATGCCTTTGAATTGTGGTGGTGATGAGTACTGAATGTCTCATGGACTGCCAAAAGAACAAACAAGTCTGTCTTGGAGAAAATGCAACCAGGGTGACCCTTTGAGGCAAAGATGATGAAACTCCTCTTTCTCATGTACTTTGGGAGTGTTATCAGGGAGACCAATCCTTGGAAAAAGATATGCTGGGAAAGGTGGAGGTTCAGAGAAAGAAAGGAAGACCTTCAACAGGATGGAATGACACAGTGACTGTAACAGTGGGCTTGAACATTTCAGAGATTGTGAGGATGGCTCAGGATCTATTCAGATCTGTTCAAGATGTTTCAGATCTTAAACAGATTCAGATTCAGATCTGTTGTTCATAGGATGTCCATGAGTCGTAGACTTGTTGGCACTTAACAACATCCTTTTTTTTTGTACCCTGGCACATTCTTTGCAAAGCAGTGTGTCTTGCCCTGTTCCTCTTGCATGGTATTGAAGGGAAATTTGCCCACATAATAACAACAATGTAGTTTCCACTCATTGCTCCACGGTATTTCATTTTCTACCCACTCCTCTTCTTGGGAGCAGCCCATTAGAGGAATGGAGACAAGGATTTCAGCCTTGAAACAGTAGTTCTTGAACAGTAGTTCAAGAATCCAGCTTCTAAACAAAAGGTCAGAGTTCTAACCCAGTACAGTAAAGGTAGCCAATTATTCCAGGGGAGGAAGATGAGGCAGCCTCCTTCTGAAAAGATGTGTAGCCTTGAGAATCCAATGGGCAGTAGTTCTCTGTCCCGTAGGGCTTCTGTGAGCTGGAGTTGACTTTATGGCTGTGGATTTCAGCCTGAGAAAAGAGTCTGAGATTCAAATCCATGGCCTGTCTCTGGAGCAGATTCAGCTAAACTCCCTTCCTCCTCTTTGCTGAAAACTCTCCAAGGACAGGGGTGGTTGTCCTCTCCTTCTATGTCATAGGGTAATTCACACCCATTTCAGCGGTTGTCGGATGTATGTGCATCCACTCTCAGCAGGTTTTAGCATCTCCTCTGAGAGGGCTGTGAGCAAAGCAGGTGGAAAGTCACGCCCATCGCTGCCCCCGAATCACTGAGGGCCTGGAAGTTCGCCACCTGCTGGATCTCACTCTCCTTCCCTGCTAAGCAAATTCAGCCCCTCCTCTCTAGAGGCTTAATCTATGGTGTTTGCACCGCTACCCAAAAGGCTGCAGTTTGTCTCATTTAGCTCCTCGCTTTTCAAGCCCTGCTTTGTTAATCTGACATTATAAATACCTCTTGCACATCATTAAGCAATCTTACATTTCTGCATCCACGTATTTACAAATATGCCATTACCCTAGACATGTACTTTATAATTTTCATTAGACATTACATTATTAACATCTCTCCATTTAATTAACCTATGACTCCTTCCTCATTTTCAGTGTTCACATAATCCTCTATTGTTGAATGTACCATAGCTAATCTAATCATTACCCATCAGTAGGCATTTAGGGGTCCAGTTTTTCCCTATAGTAACCAACCCAAGGTGAAGTCTTTGCACATAGTGACTATTTTCTCAGGATTAGTAGGAGAATACAAGAGAGTCAAGGGATGTGAGCCCTTTAAAAGCCCATTCTAGGCTTGGGTCCCATGAATATAGTGGCTATGGGGCTTCTGGTTGAAAGCAATCACTAATAAGTACAGACAGCTACACCGGGTGCTTTAACCTCGTTGTTATACTTAGTCCTCCCCACCACCTCCTTAGCCCTAATGAGCCTGAGTATTGCTGCTATTTCTCTGTAGCTGTGTATGAAGAGAGAACTGGAGTGGACCAGGTAGCTGCCTGTCTTTTACTTTAATCTGCTGTGGCCTGATTAGCTGAGAGCTGGAGAGTGAAATGGATCCAGGCTCCAGTGGGCGTTCTCCATCTTTTGGGAGTACTAAGCTGCTAATTGAAACCAGCAAGGGTTAAGTGCTAGGTTGCTAATTGCAAGGTGCCTCTCTGGGGGGAGAAAGATTTGATGATCTATTTCGATAAATATTGTTGTTAAGTGCCATCCAGTAGATTATGACTCATACCAACCCTATGAACAGTGGATGTGAAATTTACCCTGTCCTGTGTCATCCTCATAATATTTTTACACATTCAAGGCTACCATTATAATCACTATATCAATCCATCTCATCGAGGATCTTCTCTTCCTTCACTGATCCCCCACATAAAGATGACAGTCTGGAAAAATCCGGTTCTACTTTGTCATACAGGGTCACTCTAAGTCCAAATGGTGACACCTAAAGCAACAATACAGAGTTCCAGAAAGGATGGAACCAGTTTAGGGCAAATGAGGGGTAAAGGGGAAGGCAGGAAAAGTCCCTCATTAAGTCTGGCCAGTGGTCAGCAGCTCCACATAATGTCCCCCATTTCATTTGCCACACATCAAATTCTAGCAGTCATACCTCCCTTGGGTTTCTTGTTGGATTTCCTGCTGGGAATCCTGGGTTTCTCTGAAGGAACTGGGGCAGCATTGGGCAAACACACCTCCTGGAGAAGGTATGAGGGCCACAGGAATAAAGAACTGACTGTCAGAATCTGTGTCTTTCCAATATGAGTTCCTGCCAAGCCACAGACATATTGACACTTGTGTACCAGGACATCGATCAGACATCCTACCACCAAAAAAGAGACAGGAGTAGAATGTGTCATTTGGATCTGGAGTCTTTATGCTGAGAAACTCCTAGACATAGGAAAAAAACTGATGGCAAAGGCTTTTCCCCAGAGGAGAGAGAGCGAGCAAGCAGAAATATTGTAAGTGGATGGCATTAAAAGAGAACTTTATTCTCTCACCATTTACTTAGGGCACCAGCTCTTGCACTCTCCATCCATCTCTCTCTCTCCCCACCCCTCTCCCTCCTTCCCTTCCCTTCTCCCTTCTTCCGCCCTTCTTCTCCCCGCCCCCCCCCCCATGGTGTAGTATACACAGTGTATGGTGGGTCGCCATGAGTCAGAATGGACTTAGAAGCAGTAAGCTTGTTTTTCCGTTTAATTTCTTTATTAGAGGAGCCCTAGTGGTACAATGGTTAAAAGTGCTCTGCTCAGCACTTTGAACTTATTAGCCACTCCTCAGAAGAAAGATGCGGCAGTCAGCTTTGTAAGGACTACAGTTCTGGAAACCCTATGGGACAGTGTTACTCTGTCCTGTAGGGTCTCTATTAGTCAGCATTGTCTCCAGTGCAACTGTGAAAACTACTAAAGACAACAATAAAGTACTCTTCTCTTTCTGGGTGCCAGCCTTGGGTCTCCTGGCTTTATCATGGAGCCTCGGGTAAATTCTCACCCTGATTTGACCTCAGTGTTCCCCCTCAGGATTCCAGTGGATGTGTGAAAGTGGGACTTGGGACACCCGTCCTGCTTGGTGCCCTGCCTGGACCACCCCACCCCGCTTGAGCCGGAGACCGGACAGCAGCTGCCTGCCGGCACCCCGCGGTGCAAACCCGGCCAATCAGCGGCAGCGGGGCGGGCGGAGAGGCTGTGCTGCGTGCAGAACCGAGCAGAGAGAAAAGCACTGCTGTCCCAGAGCAGACCATGCCTCGCTCTCCTGCGCTTTCCCCACTGCTACTTCTGCTGCTGCTACCGCCGCTGGCCGCAGGCCTTAGGCTTCACGGCGCGGGTGGCCGGCGCCCCGAGTGCGGTCCGTGCCGGCCGGAGCTCTGCCCAGCGCCCGCGCGCTGTCCGGCTCCCGCTATCGCGGCGCGCGATGAGTGCGGCTGCTGCGCGCTCTGCCTGGGCACCG